AAAATCGTCGGTTGACTGTTAGAGACCTTACTGATATGATCGGAATATCAGAAGGTGAAAACAATTTTGAAAGACCATTTGGGCCTACGAAAAGTCAAATCTCGTTTGGTACCGAAAACGCTCAATTTCTTGCAAAAAAGTCGCCGCGTTGATGTGTGTGAAACAATGCTTTCTGACTATCAGGACAAGCTCAAATGCATGATTACGGGAGATGAGACTTGGATTTATGCTTACGACCCTGAAACAACCGACAAATCAAGCGAATATCGTGCTAAAGGCGAGGCCAGACCGAAAAGTGCACGTCAAAGTCGTTCAAAAATCAAGGTCATGATGACAGTTTTCTTCGATTTTCGTGGTGTGGTGCACTATGAATTCCTTCCACCCGGCCAAACTGTTAATAAGGAATATTATTTGAGCGTTATGCGTCGTTTGCGTGAAGCAATTCGTCTAAAAAGACCAGAATTATGGGCCAACAACTCTTGGTTTTTGCATCACGATAATGCACCATCTCACACTGCACTCGTTCTTCGTGACCATTTCGCCAAAAATTCGACGCATATCGTTCCCCAACCACCGTATTCGCCTGATTTGGCTCCGTGTGACTTCTGGCTATTCCCAAAACTCAAGAGACCACTCCGGGGAACGCGTTTCGAGTCGATTGGGGAGATAAGAGCTGAATCGAAGAAGGCGCTGATGGCTATACCGGAAAGGGACTATTTGGCATGTTTCGAGGATTGGAAAAAACGTTGGCATAAGTGTATTTTATCGGGAGGGGATTACTTCGAAGGGGATGACATTGATGTAGAAGAATAAATAAAGATTTTTCATTTTACAAACAAATTCACCTTACTTTTTGCCCACAGTAGTAAGTCGCCATAATAGCATTCTTCATATCTTCAACAGAGTTAACATTTCTCCTGATTGCCAAACCATAGTACTGAGACAATTTGTTTATAAGACTACCCGTTAATTTGCCTTTTCCGCCTAACTTTTGGGTTTTTTGCACATTTCGTAATCTTGTACCCATGCGTTTTTGCACGTGGCCAATGCACTCACGTTTTTCAACTAAAAAGTCGTCCCCATACGGATTTTCCTTCAAGATAGCTAGAAAGGATTTCGAATCACCGTCGCCGATATATACAGTATAGTACACGCCGTATACTTCTAAAGATCTTCCAAACATCTCTATAACAGCATCCACTTCCATCTTTCCCGAAGATCCATCGTGGTTCGCAGTGCACTCATCGGCGTGGTCCTGGAGCCATATTTCGTATTCTTGAGTATCTTCTTTATACGGGCACGTAGAACAACCTTGACAGACCGTACTTTTGACGATTAAATCAACTACTTTCCCTGTTTCATATTCAATCAAAGTTGTAACGCCGATTTTCGACGTAAAGCCTCGCTTTTTCCACGAACCATCACCCGAAACTTTTAATTGTAACAAAGGCCGTGAATTTTCTTCGTTGTTTTTTTTCGCTTCCTCAATAGCATTTTTGCAGCTCAGAAGAAAAAAAATTCTGGAAGCATCATGTATATGTTCGAGAATGCGATCGTAGCCGCCTTTACTCAGACCGATTCCAAACTCCATCAACCCAGCAAATAAATTTATCCCCTTCATACCTATGCCTAGCAGTCTCATAACAAAGACTATTCGTCGATTCACTTCGTAACCGTTATTTATATACGGGATTGTATCAATAGCCGTTGTGCCACACCTGCACGTGAGTACTAATTTACATCCAAAGCCTGTTTGCCGCATTTGTTCTTCAAACTCCACATGCCCCTTACACTTTTGGCAGCAGAGAGTTTGTGAAAGTGTAAGAAACAGCGTCATAAACTCTATTATGCAATATCTATGACTAGCGTTTACCGGAACATCTTCAAGAGACGCCGATGCCAATTTTCTTGCACTTGTACTGATGCCTACTTGCTCGCCTTCTTTAGTTGAGAATTGATTACCGCGAAAAGATCTTCGTCTCTTTGCGGCACGATAGCCTTCTTCTTTTTCGCCCTTAGGATAACTAGTACTCATTTTCAAATTGTGAAAACTAGAAACACGATGCTCACTACCCAAAAGCCGAAATAAAACTGAGCAAACTGTAGTAACGGTCTCCCAAACGAATCCCTACCTTTCCCCAGAAATCTTTGTACCTACTATGCTACACCTAGCCTGACCCTGTAAACGAACGTACAGTTTATACAAATGAAGATTGAGAAACATCTAATCCATTGTATATTATAAGTAGGAAGCGAACTGCAGCGCACCGCGAAGCGGGGCGCCTTGCCGCTCGAGCGCGCAGCTGCCTAGCTGCTCTGCGCGCCAGAGTTTCTATACGAAAATAGCTATAGCGGCTGAACCGCTCTGAATTACGGTCCAATATTTTAACAGCACATTCTTGAAATGATGTACTTTCGATCTATGCAAAAAAAAAAAAAGACTTTTGTCATCGATCTATTGAGGGATACCCCCTTAATTAGTAAGTTAAAGAATAATAAAAGTGTCTGCATTTACTTTTAGAAGGTGTATTCTTTATTACGGAAGTTGATTTGTTGAATCTTGATCAATTTTAGGACTGAAAACCAAAAATTTACTTAAATAAGGGAATAATGCATAATATTGAAAATAATGCATATTGAAAATATTATGGATTATTTTCAATATTATGCATTACTCCCTTATTTCGTAGTGTATATATGTAATTTATTATCTGAATAACGTATTGGACTGATTAATAACAGTTAGATAAGAAAATTTTTATTTTTGCTATGAATAACAATTTTCTCCTTCTGTAATAAACGGCTGTTTTTCTTCGTAGAGTATAAATGATTCGTTGGAAGTGAATTCATTAATTTGGATTAATTTCGAGTGCTAAGAACGAAATTGGTTTATATGTACCATATGTAATATTGAAGTAGGGTAAAATAAATTTTACGTCTTTTAAAATTTTTTCTCTCAAAATCCCGATCAGATTAACTTTTTTTTTAATTGTATCCTTAAAGCAATTAATTTTATTCATATTCACAAGATTTTGCAAATTCTCAATTGATAACAAATGACAAAAATTCTGTTTGCGATCTATAAATAATAAGGGTAGTCACCCTTTAAGTTAGAAATGTTAGAAATATGGTATGAATAATAATATTTACTTTATTTCATCAAAAACTTCACAGTGGCTTTTCAGAAATAAAAAAATATGATTTTTAACGGTGTCATTCAAAATTATTTTTTACGGCTTAAATGGGCGAAAGCGCTCCTATAAAAATTACGTATCTTTTATAAAGGGGTGGATATTTAATAGGCTACACGGTGCATAGGTTTGAGCGCAAGCCTCCTTGTGTGCGCACAGATAAGTGCAAGTTATGTGAGCGTCGCCGCATCGCTGCCCAATGTCGCATACTTTAAAGGCGTTCTGGGCACTCGCCGACGGTTGCCTCCACAGGCAATCGCAAACGCTTCCTATGCGTTGAACCTTGTACCGTGATGTTACCTTGTGTGTGTGTCCTTGTTTCAGGGTAGTCTTCGTCAATTACTGCCGTTAATTTTTATAGGTAGTCTTAGCCTCGCTCGGAAATATAGCTAAATTCAGCTAGATAAAATTGGACGCGAAAGCGCCAAGGCGTATGACAAAAACAAAAATACGAGTATGAGATGAGAATAGGCACTTCTGAAGGGTTAGTCAATAATTAACACAAGTCGTCTTTTATTGTCACAGCGGTATCATTTATTAGTTGACAGTTCATCTATAAACTAAGGCCTACGCAACATTGATAATTCCTAACACGTGGCAGGTGCGAACTTTGTTCGCTGTCACGTACACGCAACGATCGTTCGTCCGCGGGTTTGCTATAACACGCGCACAATTATGCCGTCACGGATCCCAAGCTCGCGTGAGATCGGCGGGCGATGTACCTCGGATTATGCCTTCCATGACGTGCGTAGGACGATAATGGACGATAACATATATTGCGCGGAGCTGGTCAGCTTACTTCACGTTATCTGCGTTTTAGCCGTCGCTCAGGTTTTCTCAATCGGAGAAGTACCTTGCACTTCCCATGATGATTGGTATACTAGGATGTGGCTACTTGCAATATCTCGCGTCCTCTAGAGCTCCCTTAGGATGCTCTTCTTTTTGAGGAGAAAACACGTGGTACCGTCTGATTTCGTTCGATGTCAAATCTCGAGTGGCTCGTCAACATGGCCGGTCTCTCTCCTGCGCATCCACGCGTATACAACGCATGTTCTAATTTCATAGCCGGTAGGTGCTGTCGCCGCGGGCAGTCCCACGGACGAGACGAGTGCGCGAATATCACTTTCATCCTTATACTAGTATTTATCAAAATACTACAACATATCGCAATTTGTAGAAAAAAATTGTTGTTTTTTTCGATCTTTAATTAATCAATTTTTTAACAAAATACCCTATTAAGTAGTTTTTGGAAATATACGAATAGATGTCGAGATAAAACATAAAGAAAAACGCTTGAAATGAAAAAATTTTTAATTGGATACTTATCAGGGATACAGTTTTAAAGAAACATAAACAAAAATAAAACTAGTCAATACAAAAACTGAAAGCTAGAGCTTGTAATGCTTGCGATGCTATATACTTTGTCTAGTTTAGAAAAGTTACGAACCCTCTTAGTCAACCTCGGCGGAAACTCATCATATCGACTGGTCTTAATGTAACACAGCGTATCATGCGATGGATTGATGTCAACGCTATCGTTTATTGTCCTGTTATTGGGTACATATTTTCTTTGTTTATTCGTATAATTATTAAGGTATTTTTTGTCGGTTTTGTTCTAAGTGAAAAAAATAAGTTACATATAACTGAATTTCTAACGAATCATATGACAATATATTATATATTTTGTACTTAGTTGAACTTTGCAATTTGAATATTGAAACTCATTCAATCTGTTTTTAACTGTTGCCACTGAAGCTTCGACTATTAGTAATATAAAACAGAAAATTATAAATATATATATTTTTTCAGGTTTCTTGTGAAACATTCTGTATAGATGATGAAGAAACTTTATTAGAGGCAGCTGAATCATTAGAATCAGATATTATTTCACCACTAACTGTAAGGTTTATCAAGTCACAACAACAGAGCTTACTAAAATGTAAGTATAACACCATTAAACATTGTGTTATCTTGTAAAAAGTATGAATCTGGTATAACATCCTGTATCGTTACAGTTTTCCGGGGTATAATTAGGGAAAGATCATTAAAACGAACAAAAATATAGTTCAAATTAATTTACTCAAAGATATGGTCATATCGATATTTAATTTCACTTCTAGAGTAGTGATTTACAATACCTTTTAATGACATTTGTCATCCTGGTGACTAAAAACACAATACTGTGAAGTTTTTAATCTCAACTTAGAGTAGTTGTAAAAAACCTTGGGTACTTATTTATAATCTAAAATGGGTACTTATTTTGTAGATTTATTTAGTAACTCTCAAGTGGCGTAAACTACATGTCTCTTTTTCAATTTTTTTCCCATAACTATGATATCAAAAGTAAAAAATTAAACTGATTTTTTTTTTAACTTTGATGCGATATAATTTAAAAGGAAGTGATGGGAGGTAAAACCTATCTTGCTATTTGAAAGTTTGTCTCAAATGCTAGAAAAGCCATGACCGAGAAAGATTTTTTCATACCGTTTTTTAGCTATATCGTATTTTATTAAAAAAATACATTTTATCAATTAAATCATATCTCGAAAAATATGCTCTTTACTAAATACCTCTAAACAAAACAGTTGTTACATTTTTGTTAAAAAGACTATTTATAAACATACAAAACCATAAAAAAAATTATTTAAAAAAATTTTTTTTGTTTGAAATGTTTTACATTTAAAAAAAACATTGAAAATTTAATTATTAAGGTAAATAAATAATGAGACGTATAAAAATCTCTATTTATTTGTATACTTTTTTATTACAAATTTTCAAGTAACAATTTTTTATAAAATAAATTTTTAATTAACAAAGTTATAGAATATTAATATTATAAATATTAATTTTCAAATTTTAAATAAAGTCACTGTAATATAAAAAATTCCAAACCATAAGATAAAAAAATTTTTTTTATCGTTTTATAAGTTTATAAATAGTTTTTTTTTTATCAAAATGCAACAACTTTTTTCTTTAGAGCTTTTTTGTAAAGAGCATATTTTCCGAGATATAACGATTTGATTCGTAACATATGTTTTTTTTTAAGTAAAATACGATATACTTAAAAAAATTGTATGAAAAAAAATTTCTCGGTTTTCTAGCATTTGGGACAAGCTTTCAAATGGTAAAGACATATTTTACTTCCCATCACTTTCCTTGAAATTATATCGCATCAAAGTTGGTAAAAAAAATCAATTTCATTTTTTTATTTCTGACGTCATAGTTTTGAAAAAAAATTAAAAACGAACGTGTAGTTTACACCACTTGAAAGATACTAAAAAATCTTACAAAATGAGTACCCACAGGGTTTTTTAGAACTACCTTAAGACGAGATATGAAACTTTAAAGTGTTGGGTTTTTAATCAACAGGGTAGCAAATGTCATTGAGCGGTACTGTATAATGCATACTAACATGCCAATAATAAAAAATTGAAAAATACAGAATCATGAATATTAATTACTGTGATAGAAGTAATTATAAAAGAAGCGATAATTCAGAAATGGATAAAAAGTAATAATGTAACACAGGAAAGTTTTATATACAATTGACTGTACATTTTTTTTTATTTAAGCAATTTTAATCCTGTATAAGGATTACTTTGTTACAGTTACATACAGAATATAACAATAGATTTCTTATACAATACATGAGGCTTGAAATTAAATTGATAGGTTACAATCAGTTAAGAAGTTACAAATAGATTTCGCAATATTGGTATTTATATTAGATAGTAAAACAGTGCTGGATCAAGGAAGGAACATTTTAGATTGTCTGATATTTGTGATAAATCTAGATCGTTGGTAATTGTAGAGTTGACATTGCCAGAGAATATGATCAAGGTCTTAATACTCATAATTGCATTCACATATGGTATCTTTGCAAAGCTTTATTTTAAATAAGAATGACTTCAAATTGTAGTGGCCTGACCTACAAATGATTTTGCGTGAGAGGTTTAGATTAGAAAACCAGGGCTTAGCTCGGTTGTTGTGAAAATTATCGAAATACAGAGCACCTTTGAATGCTCCTTCTTCGCAGATAATTTCGCGAATATTATTAATGTCATGTTTCGTAACGTACATTTTTAGATCAGTAAAAGGAGTTTTGAGATTGAAATCTGAAATAAAGGCGGTCGACTGCTTTGCCAAGGAGTCAGCTTTATCGTTACCGCGAATACCAGAGTGCGATGAAATCGAAACGAGCTTGAGTTGACGGTTATTTTTACTGGTTTTATAAAAATCCATAATATTTTGCCTTATTCTGTAAATGTGAGAGTTAACTTTGATACTAAGATTAATACTATTAAGGGAGAGGAGGGCACTAAGAGAATCAGTGAAGATTATTACATTTTGATTGGAATGATTAATAGCAATTTGAGTTGCATCACTGATGGCAACGCACTCAGCCGTGAATATCAACGCACTAATGTCAAGACTCCTTGTCACTGTTATTTTGAGAGAATCACAGATACATGCTGTTCCAACTGAGTTTCCTGAATCAGTTTTGTTACCATCAGTGTGTATAACATATGCGTTTTCATCAAATAACCTCTGCTCAATTAAGGAGTCAGGATGAAGAGCTTTTTTGAGTAAGAGACCAAATTCGGTATCAACTTCAGTATGATAGAAAATGGTATGATAATCAGTCTTCTAAATATTATAATGGTCATTAGCGAATACATTGTTGTTGTTGAAATTGGACTTTTTGATACACTGATGAGTCGGCGTTTGCTGTTTCTAAGTTTGCTATGTTTGAGTTGAATTTTGTTAAAGATACAGTGTATATTTTTATGAGCTATCAGACTGGAATTGAACATTACTTTACTAATGTAGTTGTTACAGAGATAAATAGAGCGATCTTCTAAGTATGTAAGTTTAGATTCTGAGAGTAGCACATTGGTGGGTGTACTTTTACGGTAGCCAAGAGCAAGTCTAATAGCAGTATATTGTATTTTTTCAATCATTTCAGAGTATCGCATAGTAGTGGGGTGGTAAACAAAATAATCATAATCGAGTATAGAAGGAGCATAGCTTTTATATAAAAGTAAAAGAGTTTCCGAGCTGGAACCCCAAATGACTCCACGCAAATATTTGACAAAGTTGATGGCTTTGAGAGTTTTTTTGCTGAGCGCACTGATGTGTGGTTTGAACGAAAGACGATAATAAAAAATCACACCGAGAAATTTAACAGATTTACTGGATGAAATAATATTGTCTGTGACTGTGATGGATGTTTCACCTGGTTTGATGTTCGATTGGTTGAAGTGGAAGAAAACGGTTTTGAGCGGAGCGAGATTAAGTCCAATTAGTTGAAGATTATTGTAGATAGAATTTATGGCTTTCTCAAGAAGCCTTTTAGAAGATGATAACGGGCTCCTGCTACAATAAACTACAATATCATCAGCGAACTTGGCCACTTTAACAGATTTAGGGATCCCATTAGAAATGGAAGCTATGTATATGCAAAACAGCAAAGGGCTCAAAACACCACCTTGTGGAACGCCCTTGCTAGTAGTTTTTGGATTTTTGTCTATTGTTTCGGTGTAAATGAGTCTTTTCCAGGTAATATGCTTAATAAACTTGATAAAGATAAGGGGACAGCCGACTTCAGCAAGTTTTTCAAGTCGGATTTCAACGTTGATATTATCAAATGCACCTTCGATGTCAAGAAATGCAGCAAGGACACACTTTTTCTCATGAAAAGCCTCTTCAACCTCAAGTGTCAGACCGTTCAGATTGTCGATAGTTGATTGTTCTTTCCTAAAACCTGTTTGGAAAATCAAATCAGGAAGTATGTTCTCTGTTTCAATCCACCATTGTAATTTATTTTTAAGCATAATTTCGAAAACTTTACACAGGCAAGAATTTGAGGCGATGGATCTGACCCCTTTGTTCTCGGGTTTATCTATGAAGTGAATGAATGATTTCTTCCAATCAGTTGGGAAGGAGCTATGTTGGTACATTTCGTTGAATATATCTACTAAAAGTAACTTATAGTTGATTGGTAGCCGCTGAATGGTTTCATAATCAATGCCGTCAACTCCACAGGATGATTTCATGCTTTTACTTGTTAAAGCCACATTGAACTTTGTAAAATTAAATAGATCCTCAATAAGAGGATTAGGTTGGCATGTGGGAATGTCGTCTCGATTATTTTGACACCAGTCAGGACTAGTATGATTGAGACAGTTCTTGATGCGATCAAAGTTTTGGTGGTTATCGGAGATGCTAGAGGGAGTAAAATTTGTTCATTTGTTTTTCAATAATTTGCTTTTATTCCAGACATACGATAGATTAGTACGAAAATTGATTGACTCGGCAAAGTTACGAAAGTTAGAACTTTTTTGTTTTCAAATTTCTGCGTGCGGTCGCGACAGCTTTTTTATACTCAATAGAGTCTTTAAAATTTTTAGTAAATCTCATTTTTTTAAAGCAGCTCTTCTGAGTCTCTTGAATCCATCACATTCCGAATCCCACCAAGGCACTGGGTTTCTATGAACATTATTATTTACAATGCGTTTGATTGGAGTATTTGCCTTAATAGCACTGGCAATGGTGTCGGTGAACAAAGCATATTTATCGCAAAGCGATGCGCAATCAAAATCAACAGTCAAGAAATTGTTAAAACTATCAACGAGGTTTTGGTTAACATCGTACCAGTTAGTTCTTGTAGATTTGAGATTGAATGATTTTTTGCGATATAAAGATTTATTAACATTGATATCAATAAAAATTGGAAAGTGATCCGATCCCCAGGTTTCATCATTCACAGTTACATTTATTTCATCAACAATATTGTTAGTAGAGAACACTAAGTCGAGATTAGAGTAGTAATTTGATATTTCACAATAAAAAGTCAATGAGTCAGGGTTGTGCAAATATGTATCAGAGCTATTATGGGCTAGAAGGAGTCTTTCGCCGTTATTGTCGAAATCATGACAG